TAGTGCTCCAGCCTCTCCAGGCTAATGCTTTTTCCAATTTTTAACCATCCATCCATCTATTCATTCATCCACCTATTATCCACTCATCTATCATCCATCCATCCATCCATCCATTTTTCCATTTAAGAAATGTGTTAAATGTCCACTAAGTGCCTGGCATTGGGGATATAATGACGTTCAAAACTGGAAATTGTCCCAGCCCTCATGGGTTTCACAGTCCACTTGTATTAGCGACCTTACCTTTGGTAGGACAAAATATCTGACATACACAAGTTAAAAGAGAAAAGGCTTATTTTGGCTCACAGCTTCAGAGGTTCAGTCAGGGACTGGCTGGTTCCAAGGTAGAAAGAACATGGTAGAGGAAAGTTGCTCACCTCATGGCAGCCAGAAAACAGAGAAAGGGGGGAAAAGCTGAAGAAGAGATAAATCCTTCAGAAGCAACTCCCAGTAAGCTACTTCCTTGAACTAAGCCCCACCTCCCACCTCCTAACAGTTAGTGCCCTCAATACTGGAGTCTTTGGGCAACACTTAATGTTTAAACCATTGCATCAGTGCAGGTGACAGATATTTTAGAAATCAGCCTCAGAAGTGAACATCTACAATCTGAAAGAAATAGTACAGAGGAAAGGTCAGTATGGGGCTGGGAACCCAGTTTGGAGCAGGGTGCCTGGGAAGACTGGCCAGGCTGTGACCCTTGAGCTGAGGGCTGTAAGAAAGTAGGGGCTGTGTATGTGAGCTCAAGAAGAATCTCAGAGGGAAGCAAGGTATGCAAAAGGCCTGTGGGAGGAGGCTCATGAAACTCCAAGGAACAGGGAGAAGACCAGCGTGGCAGGGCTTGGAGAGTGGTAGGACAGGGAGGTTCTGGAGGAGCTGCGCTATGAATGAGGCCTATAGACCAGAGTAAGTCTTAGATTTTAACTCAGAAAGCAATGGGGAAGCCATGGAAGGATCCTAGCTGGGCTGGAGGTGGGCATATGACTAGGCTTAAAAGATGGCTGTAGCTTTGGGTGGAGAATGGCTGCCGGGGGCAAGGTGGTACCTCAGTCCAGGTTGCAGCTGATGAGGCCTGGGCAGGATGTGACATGTGGAGGTGTGGGGTGAGCAGACCCTTTGGCTGATACCTCTCACATCTGTGGGATGGGGCAAGGGCATAGCCTCACACCTGGGTACTGGCCCCAAGTAAGCCTCCAACAGGACTGAGGAAGTAATCAGATCTATAAGAAATAAGCCCTGTGACAGGGGACTCTAGAGAAGGAGGTAGCCCAGGGGGACAGAGTAGCACCAGGGTCAAGAATTAGGGGGTCTGTTTGTGGCCTGGGGACATGAGAATGACCCACACTCAGTTCTGCCCCTTAACAGTGCCTGGTCCTAGCACCATGAGGAACTAGGAGCCTCAGGGGCTAAAAGGGCAAGAGAGGTGAGGATGGCAGTTGGAGGTCAAGGTGGGAGACAGGAGCTTGGGGTCTGGGCCAGACCAGTCATTCCCAGGATTAGGTTGGTATTTCTGCATTGGAAAAGAAATAGCTATTCTCATGGTGTTGTGGAGTCCACAGACTTGCAACTTGCTCCAATGAAAGCATAATAATTTGATGGAGGTTTAATCAATGCATCCTATTTTTCCTCTGGGTATATGGGCAGGAACAGTGAGCTGCCTCTTCTGTTCCTACTCTGGGACTATGGCAGTGGTGAGCATGTGGGTCAGTTGAGGATTGTGGGGGCTGAGAGGGGCCGAGTCACAGGCCATGCCTAGCTGGCTCTCAGGCACTACAGGCTGAGCTAGTGTGAACTCTGAACCCACATGTGCTGGTGTGAACCAATTTCTTGAATGCAGCTGGAACTGCCCTGTGCTCAGGAAACTAAGTGACCACATGGGTGGGGTTACTGGCTTGTGTGGAGCTACTTAGAGCTGGGTAAGGCAGTTTCCTACTGCTCTGAGTTACTGTTGTCCTGTGCTGTGTGTGTCTGTGCATGTATGTGCATATGTGTGCATATGCACACATGTGTGTGTTGACATCGGCCTCACCTGGCTCCCTCTGAACTCAACCTGAGCAGGACAGCTGACCCAGCTGTGGTCTGGACAGGATCTGTCCCCAGCAAACTCGGGTTGAACCTCAATGCATCTGTGCTGAGGGGCAGTGGGGCCTTTAAGAGGCAATGAGGTCTGTGGCTCCCTCTTCATGCAGGGATGGACACAGTTCCCAGGAGAAAGTGGGTTGGTTATGGCAAGAGTGGGACAGGAAGTGAGCCCCTTCCTCTGCCTAGCCTCTTTCACACACACTCCTTCCACATGACACATCTCTCTTCCACTTTCACCAGAATCTGAAGATGTCAGGGCCATCTTCTTGGGGTCCCAGAACTGAGAGCTAAATGAACCTCTTTTCTTTATAAACCACATAGTCTCAGGTGTTCTGTTGTGGCAACAGAAGGCAAAGCCAGAGTGTTGTAGGCAGGTCACTGGTACTAAGCTTTTCCCTGGGAGGTTTTCTGAGTCCTGACATCTTTCCACTCTCAGAAGGGACAAGAATGACTCTCAGTGAGATGGTGACCTCTGCCCACTCACTCAGGGCTCCCTTGGATGGGGACCAGGCGGGAAGGTGTGGTTGATGTGCCTGGGGAGAGGTCCTTGGGAAAGCAATCTTAGAGCTGGACCCCAGAGGCTCCTGAGGCCATAGGCCAGGCCTGCTGTGGTTGTCTATCCTAGAATCTGCCCTGTCTTTCCCACGCGGCCCACAGAGTTGTGTGAAGATGAGTCCACACCAGATGTGGTATGCAACAGTCTGGACCAGACAGTGGCTGGGTACCGGAGGATGGATTTGCGTAGCTGTCACTTGCTTCTCATGTTGCTAATGTGCCCTGTCCAATTCTTGGAAGGTTTGGACAGGGATGAATTCTGTGATTTCTTCTTTCTACCAGAGCCAATTTCTCTTGGTCCCCATTTCTCCAGAAATGTGCCCAGGGAGACAGTTAGTCCCTCCTTAGGAAGCCACAATCCTATGCTAGTTCCTGGTTTGGTTCCAGCCTCCTGCTGTGCACATGGCCACTTCCTGCCTCCAGCTCTCCTGGATCCTATGAGGCCTCTGTCCCCTTGCACCTGCCTATGCTGCTCCCCCTCCTGCAGCATGCTTCCTCCTGCAGCCATCCCATCATTCCTCAGCCCAAAGCTCAGGAGTCACTCTGTTCCCCTGGATGCCTCCTGACACCCTGTGGTGGCAGCTGCACTTGTAACATGTGCTCCTAGGATGCCTCTACCCATGGCTTAGCATCATGCATTTTTGTGGGCAAGAAATTATTTTATTCATGTCTGAAAAGCAACCCTATAAATTTCATCTTGTTACATGTCCAACCACATAATGTTATCTGGTGGAGGTTTTCTTCACCTTGGAACTAGGTGCTGGGGATATTAGGACCAGGTAACTCTGCAGTGAGACTGTCCTGTGCATTTTGGCCAGTTCAGCAGTGGCCCTAGCTCCAACCTGCCAAGTGCCAATATCACCCTCAGGGGGAAAGCCAATAGTGTCGCCACACTTTGCCAAGAATCCCCAAGATTGGGCACAGGGGAAACCACTCCTGGTTTCAAGCCATGGACTTGAAATCAGTGTTTGTAAGACATTTATGATGTCACAGGCAGTTCCTCCTTCTGCTTATTTATTTATTTATTTATTTCCCGCTACCGGGAATCGAACTCATGACATTGCGCTTGCCAGGCATGTGCTGTGCCTCTGAGCTAAATCCCCAGCCCCAGTTCCCCTTTCTGAAGCACTGATTTCTTTCTAGACTAGCACTGTCTAATAAAAAAAAATACGAGGTATAATATGAGGCTCATAATACTTGTAAATGTTCTTAGTAGCTACATTAAAAGCCAGTAAAAGGAAAAAAGGGTGAAATTAAATTTCATAATATATTTTATTTGGTCCAATAAATCTAAAACCTGTCCTTTGAGCATGTAATCAATATAAAATAGTTATAAGGTGATCTTTTATACTTTACATTTTTTACTCCATCACCAAATCTGGTGTGAATTTTTATCAGTTTGGACTAGTCACATGTCAATTGCTCCGTGTGGCCAGGGGTTGTCACCTTAACCAGGGCATAGCCCAGGTAAAGTTATCCTCTGCCCACTGGCTGGCAGGTGGCAGTGTTGTCCCAATGCAACCCACAGGGATGCTGAGGGCCAGTGAGCAGACAAGAAGGCTGGTCCCACCCAAGAAAGTCATGCAAGTGCTGGCTGTGGCGTGCTGAGCAAAGTGGCTACTCCCTGTGCATGGTGCAAGGGTCCCAGCCACACACACACAGAGTAGGTCTCTTGTTTCCACACACCCGCCCACTCTGATGCCCCACCTGCCTCCATAGGCCCATCTCTGTGTGCACTACTCACAGGGAGGTCTTCTAAAACCCTGGCCACATTCTATTTTCTTAAAAAGACACGTTCTTTTCTGAACTTGCCCTAACCAGGAAGTCGCTGTCCAGGGAGATGTGGTGTCCAGCCTGTCCACGAGTGAGTCCCAAGCCACTCTGCTTGTCCAGTCCTGCACTCTCCAGATCCCATCTCTCCCTTGTCCCCAAATCTGTGCCCCACCCACCCCTACTCCAGGCTCGGCTGCAGTTTCCTGGTGTTATCCAGGAGATAGGAGGGCCAGCCCTTGCTGCTTCAGCTCCTGAGAAAACCCCTAGGTTGCTATGGGAGCCCCTCACTGGGGTCACGGTCTTGAGAAGCCAGGGCATCACCCTCCTTGGTAAGGGCCATTTATGTTTCTGCTGTGGGCGAATCCTGGGCATATCCGTTTCAGTAAAGAAGCAAAGTTTCCCCAAAGTCTTCCCCTGGTCACCTAGAACAACAGAGGGTCGCTGGACAACGCGGAATGCCGGGAACATCACCAACCCCTCGCTGGCCACCGCAGTCTGGGCTCCACGCAGCCCAGGAGTCACAATCCGTCACCAGCGTTCTCGCCAGCGGCGGCAACGGCCCCGGGACACCGAGCAGAACGGAAAGTTGGACTCACCCCTGCGGGCCTGCCTGATCTTCGGGCTCAACATGCTTCTGCAGCCGCGGGGCCGGGCGCGAGGGCCCGAGCCCGTCATCCACGTCCCTCTTCTCGCGCTGTCGCTGGGTCTCCCTTCACGCCCCTCTCGTCCCACCGGCTGGCCGCTGGCGTCGCCCTCGCGGCCCCTTGGCTCCCTCTCCTGGCTCCCGACAGACGGCCCGCTTTGAACTATGCAAACCTCGATGCATTATTTATCCATCCTAGAATTAATTCCCATCCAAGCGCACCATTAAAGCCAAGGGAATCTTTGGTGATCAATCACCGGGCCAGGGCGGGGCCGGCCTGGCGGTGGCTGAGCTGAACCGGGCGGGTCCACTGAGCCGTCCACTGGGGGCGGGGTGGTGAGGGGCGGAGCGCGGAGGGCAGAGGCGGGGCTTGGGAGGGTGGAGCCCTGAGAAACAAGGACAGCCGGAAGGGGAGAGATGCGGGGTGGGCGTGGCCACGACGGGCAAGGGCGGTGGGCAGGGCCATCCAGCGCACCGGGATCTTTCCCCACTAGTGGGCAGGCTCCAGGGGTCGCAATGATCTACGTGGGGAGACTCATCTTGTTGCGCACCAGCCTATAGGTAGCCCCCGAGGAGCCGCTGGAAGTGCACAGAGGACTGTGGCTGTCCACATTTGTCAGACAGAATTTTGGTGGGAAAGGCCGAGGCCATGGAAGCCCAGCCCTGTGGGGCCAGCCGTGTTGGAAGAGATACTTCTCAAAAGGAGCTGGTGATCTCGGGAGGTCCAGCTCTGGGAGGCTGAGGCAGAGGCCTGTTGGGAACTCCGGCCATGCACGCCTCCTGGGTAAGGGGACAGCTTGGCTCAGGATCTGAACACAGTGGTATTTCAGAGCATTCGCTGGGCTAAAGGGCCAATTTCTGCTAATCCGTGTCTCTGTTGAGTACTATCATAACTCTGGTGTGTATTGGAGCCTTTCCGAGGGGGTATGGGATCAATACCCTAAAACTTGCCCCACAAATGCAATCATAATGGCAGCCCCTGTCTCTGGAGTGCCCTGGCCCACATTCATCCAGCTACTCTAGCTAGCTCAGCTCTGGACACTTGCCTGTGAAACTCTCCTGATTCCAGAGCAGATGGAGCCAGGAAGGCTTCCCCTGGCCCTGTCTGTGTCCCCTGCTAGGCCCTCTTCCCCTCCCAGCCCTGAGCCCTGTAAGAAGCACTGGTTGGATGAGCAGACCAAGAAGCATGCATGCATGTGATCCCTTCCCTGAGGGCCAGGTCCCTGTGGGGTCAGGCTAGGACAGAGGCTGCTCAGGAGCAGGGGGGAGGCTGCAGAGCTGGAACACCTCATGTTGACACCAGGGTCACAGGGCGAGCCCCGTGGCCTGTGACAACGTCTTGAGCAATCAGGAAACGTGTGAGTAATGCAGCCTGCCTGCTGCTCCAAGTCCCAGGCAAGAAAATACCCCAGGACTGGAGTGTGGCCGCTCACTCTCGTCTTGGTTGAGAAACCATCTCCAGCTCTTTTCCTGTGCAGCTGTTTCCCCTGGTGACATTAAGTCACCACGCTCACCGCCTGCTCTTCTGGGGACCAGAGTTTGGAATGGACCAAACCACAGGCTCTGGGCTGGCTCGCACCCAGCAGTCAAGCCTGGAAAGGGCTGGAGCCTGGGGAAGGGGGACCTAGGGGCAGAGGCTACAGTGGTTCCTCCTTCCTCACCTACACCCTGTTCCTTCCCCTGAGGGATCTGGGGGTCCTTCTGGAAGGGATGTGTGAACTTCAGAAAGAGGGACAGGAGAAGGGCCAAGGGGAATCTGTTGGACCAGGTGACTTCCTGCAGAAACTTTTCCTGGAAGAAAGAGCTCTTTCCCCTGGCCTGTGAGTGGTTTGGGCAAAGGAAGGAGGGAGGTAGTGGTCTCTTCAAGGTCGGGGGTAGAGCTGGCCCTACCCTTTGTCCCCATGCAGGCTGCCCTCCCAGCTGTGGCCCTGGATCTTCCCTCCCTGCTCTCCTTCCCAGAATCCCTGGGCATTTCCCAGGGGCTGCTCTGGGACAGGCACTGAGGAGGTGTGTCGAGCACTGGAGGTCGGCACTCTCCAGAAGGTGCCTGTTGCATCACACACATGTTGCTGGACTGTCACTAGCCCAGTGTGGCTGGCCCACAGCCAGGTGCCCTCACAACAGTGGCTCTCTCCAAGTATGATGGTGCACACCTGTCACCCCAGATCTTTGGGAGGCTGAGGCAAAAGAATCACAAAACAAAACACAACAAATCAAAACATAACAACAGAGGCTGTCCACCCTGGCTGCACCCAGGGGAGCTCTGATAACCAGTCCCTGTGTCTCACCCTGCAGCTCTGATGGACCAGTCTGGTGTGTATGGTGGTTCTGGGGCTTTGAAAAGCTCCTCTGGAGACACTTCTTGCAGCCAAGCGCAAGAGCACTACTTCTGAAGACAGCCGCACATTCCTAGGCCCAGGGTCATTGGAGGGAAGCTTTGTTGCTGCCACCCCAAGGGAGGTTTCTCTCAAAGAGGCACATCTGCCAATTAGTTTCGACATAGAAAGAGAAGATGCACATGGGTCCCAAAGCCCAAACGTGGACAACTTCATTACTCACAGAACTATAGCACTGTCTAGATCATGCACTGCTCAAAAGTGTCCAGTAGAGGGGGTGAGGGGGCTGGTTTTGGGCTCTTCAAGCAAATCCAGGGGTTCTAGCCTTGGGTCCCGGGCAGGGTGCAGCCACGTAGGAAGCAGAGCCCAGCTTTCCTGTTCCAGAGGCTGCCGAAGGACCAGAGCTAGCTAGCCTTTGTGCTGCAGAGCTGGGAACAGTGGTCCCCTGACCCTTAAGTACCTGTCCACCACCAGTGTCCCCTGCCTGTCTCTGGTCCCTCACATGTTACCAAAGGTCTTTTGGCAGCTCCCAGCCTCTTTCTAGTTCTTCCTTTCCATCCGGGGAGTATACTGGACCACCCATCCGGCACCCATGAGCAAGAGGCCTGATCTTTGTTTCCAGGAATTTTGCAAGCTGTAGGTTTAAGGAAGACATCACTAGAAAATAAATTATATCAACTTGGAGTTAAATAAATTGTATTTCAAACACAGCCAACAAATTTTCAACTCACTACTATCTAATCATTGAACTTCACCTGGAGAACACTATGTATTGGGTAGATTCGCATCTTTTCGCAGTGCTTTCGGTGACACAATGCTGGAAGTTTGTAATTGGCCACGCTGGGAGTATACACACCAAGTAAATCAGCCAGAGCTACAAACCAGGCTGAGGACATGGGTTTTCTTCCCAAAGGCCACCTTGGAAGTTATATGTAGGGAGAGGTCAGAGTCACACAAAGTAGGTCCCTGAAGAACCAAAGCATGGCTAGTAGCTGTCATCTTTCCACCTCCTTCTAGACCATGCCCAAGGCCACAGGGACCTGCTACATGCACTGGGATACCAGGGAGCCGGCACCTGTCCCTTAAGCATCATGGGCAGGAGGAGGGGATGGGTGCCGCCAGCACAGCTTCCCAGGCACTGCTGGCTGGCCCTGACCTTACTTGGCTCCAACAAGGAAGTGAGTCTGCAATGACTTCCCCTCCCTGAAACACAGGGAAGGAGTCAAATTTTAGGAGATGATGAATCACCAATCTGGTCAGTTTTACATTGCTGAAAACCAGACCTTTTCCCTGGTGAAAACAGCTGCAGTCATGGAGAGGCTGGGATGGAACAGATGGAAAGAATGGGAATTTCCCAGGTGCCTTTGCACTCCCTGACATCTCTCCTGTGGTGGTTACATTCCTGGTCCCATCCCTCAGGTGAACACTGCTCACCCTGGGCACCTCTGCCCCCTCCCCCTCAACCTTCCTCCTTTTGCATCTGCTGCACTCCCTGCTTCCTTTCTCTAGGGCAATAGACTCAGTCTCCCTGCTTTCAAGACCTTGGAGGGAAGTGGAACTCGGTTTTGGCTGCACCATATCCATTTCTTTCCCGACTGGGAGCAATGCCCCATCTCCCTCTGTAAGGCCATAAGGAACTGATCTGCTCTGTCCCTGGCAGGCAGGCACATGTGGCCATGTGACCCAGGCTCTGCCAACTGCATGCCCCTGGCTGGGTTTTGAATCTCCTAGATAGAATGGATTTCACAGCTGAGACAGGGATGCTATCTTGTCGTGACATGGCGCCTTCCGGCGTTAGAGGTGTCCTGTCCACACGCTGTCTGCTGGAAGAGGACTGCTAGCTTTTAGGTCCCCTGCAGCCACTGTCATTCCTGTCCCTGAGCCTGGCTCTCCAGCCCCTGAAGGTGTCATAAACTTCCAGTCATTTCCTGTCCTGGCTTTAGCTGGTCCATGTTGCCTTTTTGTGACTTGCAACCCCAGAATTCGAACTGAGGTCCAGATTCTTATATTCTTTTTCTCTCTCACTTTTTATCATCCTGAAGCTGCCCCGAGGGTACTCTCTCCCACTTCCTCCTTCTCCCGCTGAAGTCACTTCCTTCCCTGTCTGCAAATTCTGCCATCACCTGATCACTGCACATCTTCCTTCCAGGCTCGGCTCTGGCCTCTTTGGCCTGGCATGTATTTGGTGTTGGGTAGGACTGATGGTGATCTCAGCTGCCTCTCACATCCGGGTGCTGCTGGATGAGCCCCTTTCTCTGACACTCCTTCCTTCTCTTTCTTTTACATTTCTTCTCCGCTGTTCCAAAGCCCACTCTTGCTTGGCTGTCCACCTGTGGCCTGCATAGACCACTTTACCTGTCCGGTCTCCAGGGGCTCTGCTCCTAGGGCCTCACCTGTCTCAGTGGGGCTTTTGGGGAAGCAGTTTATCCCAATCATTAGGCTATGGTTCCTGTGATGTCACCACCATCACGGGGCTGAAACTTTTCCTGCAGTCATCGATGAGCATCTCCCTGCCAAGTTCCATAACTCCCAAACTCCCCTGATACCACTCACAGAATGGGCGCTCTTGGGCTTTACCATTTCCTAGGCAACCGGTGACTTCATTAACCATAGCTCCAGCTCCTCTCATGCAGCAGCACCCCTCTGCAGGGACTGTCTCTGCTCACTGCCCCAGTCACTCTCCTTAGTTTCTGGGTCACTGACAGAGCCCAAGGGGAGGCCACTTAAGCCAAACCTAAGTGGTCACTCTTGCTAATCCTCTGATCGGAGCAGATCTCATGCTGGCCTGGTCTCCTGGTCTGATCCTGCCCTCCAAGGGACACCTAAGTGGGGATGGTGAGAAGAGAGCGGGATGTAAGTTTATGCTGTTCATAAACTTTGACGGACCGCTAAGAAGGATGTAAAAAAAGAAAAAGAAAAGCCAAGACAAAACTGAGAACCTTCAGCACTCAGGGCTTGCTGAGTGGAGAGAGGGCTTACTCAGGAGAGCTAACCTGGCCCGGCAGCGGGTAGAAAGACTCTGGAGGTAGCGTGCTGTGGAAGCCAGGACAGTGGTGTGGGGGGGGTCACTCTCCATAGGGCTTGTGAGAGGATCAGATGACAGAGCAGGGGACAGTAGTCAGTGGGCATGGCCAAGGAGAGATGTTCTGGAACTAACAGGACTAAATGGACACTGCCAGACTCTGTGGGTTGGGATTCTTGGTGAAGCCTAATTCCAGCAGTATCATGGACTACACATTCCCCACATCCCTCCGTAACAAAACAAAACAACTCCCCAAACTAAAAATGCTGAATAGGATTTTCAAGACCCATGTTTTAAAATAAATAGGTGAGGCATGAAATCAGTGAAATGGCAGAGTAAGGAATTTTAAATGTCTGTCCCTCCACTCTGTGCCAACAACAAAATATGCCCTAAACTGGCAAATCAGCATTTTAGGACTTCAGACATTAACCAAAAACCTGGATCAACCAGGGGAATCTTTAATCAGAAAAACTCAGCGGGTAGATCAACTTAACGATTTTCACCTTATGGCAACATGAAGATAATACACGTTTGATAGAAATTGTACTTTGAATTGTGGTCTTGTCCCAGGCTAATGATGCACTGTGTGTACTCTGTGGCGACACTGGCTGGAGGCAGTGAGCTGCAGCTCCTTGTCAGCCACGGCACTGGCAGAGGAAGAGACAGTGCTGGGCAGATAAGTGTGCCCGACGCAGTCTGGACCTCGGCTGTCTTCAGCTTATGACAGCTTCTGGGGCAGTCACCCACTATCGGGGGAAGAGCATCTGTGTGTCAGATTGCACCCCACACTGGAGTGGGCATGTGGCCAATAACCTCCTGCCTTTGGAAATACCACTTCCCTGTTCACAGCCTGGTACAGCTCACAGGCAGGGTCTAGGTGTGAATGCAATGGAATAGAGCAGGAAAGTGAGGCAGCTTCAGAGGAACTGACACCAGGGACACACTCCTGTGCCCCATGCCGAGAAAGAGCAGCATTTACAGTTTAGGGTACACCAAGTACCAGTGCCAAGGGGACCTGGTTCCCATCACTCTGCAGAAGCAAATGATCTTGGCTTCCCATCTGACTAAAGCTCTCTTGGACACATTGTGCTATCATTGTGACAGTGCCTGGGCTTTGGAATTGGACAGTTCTGGATCAAAACCTGGCAGCGTCATGTCCTGGACACACCACTCCATCTCTTGGTGGCTCTGTTATCTCAGCTGTCCCCGCCTAGGGCTATCCTGGAGATCAAGAATTTAAAGTATGTAGCACTATGCTTAGTGCATATTTAGCCCTCCAAAAAACACAGGCACGTAGCTTCCTTCACACTGGTTCTCCTCAGACAGCTGGAGGAGCAGGTCCCGCATTCCTGAGATCCCTGAGGTATGAAGGAAGTGGCTGGAGATGTAGCTCAGTGGTATAGAGTACTTGCTTAGCATGCATGAGGCCCTAACTTCAATCTCCAGCACCACAAAAAAAGTGACAAAGTAGTGAGAAGGAAGAGGACACAGGCATGAGCCATGCCTCCATCCTCCCATCCTCCAGGGTGGTGATTTGTAAGAGTCCTGGAGAATACTTCAGTGTTGGAGCCCAGGACACCTGAGTTCAAAGCCTTCGTGTGGGCCATGCTGCAATGTGGGCCGGTCATTGTCTTCTCGGACCTTTGGCTTCCTTACATGTACAGCGGGGCCAAGAGCCACCTTATAGAAATCCTCCATGACCCTTCACTCCTTCACAGCAGCGATGCATATTTATGTCTTCAAGTCTCACTTGTGGGCCAGGTTGTAAGCTCTGGGGCCTCTCAAGTACCTTCCTCTTGCGCGTACCTAGCCAGCAGACCTTGCCTGTCCCTTCTGGGCTGCCTAGCCTGGCTAGTTCTCTGAGCATGAGCTAGGAATTCAGAAGTGTGGCTGCCTCTCTGCTGTCCCCTGGTGGCCAGCACAGATTGAGGATGGGAGCGGCAATGAGGGACGCTGGCCCGTAGCAGGTTTGGTTCCAGTTCTACTGTCTTCACTCTCCTACTGGGTCCTTAAGAAAAGATGTCACTCCTGGTCCGCGCTGTGTCCCCAGAGGCCTTAGGACTGTGTTAGGTTGATGCCTGAGTCATACCCGATGAGCTTGAGATGTTCCTTTGGTTAGAGGTTGGAATTGGTGGTGGGTGTGGACTGAATGACAGAGCTACCTGGGGTCCAGGCAGGGGACACTCTTCCCCTTCAGAGCCCTTGGAAGGAAAGGGGTGACCTGCATGAGAAGGCCACCAGGGCCTCTCCCCATACACCTGGTCTCAGAGTGGGCCTGGGTTGACACCGAAACTGCCCCAGAGAGAGTGTCCTCTCTCAAGAGGAACCAAAAGAAGAAACCAGCACACAATATCCTGTGACTCACTGACTGTCACACTTCTGCAGGGGCAGTCAAATCAGTCCCAAAATATCACTTCCTGAAATGACTGGTGGTTAGAATTGTTTTTTTCCTTCATGTAAAATACTGGGTATGTGTGTATTTTCTGTGATTTGGCTTGACTCATATCTTGTGGTCACACATGGCTTTCACCACCAGCATGGCCACTTGGCCCTGTCCAGGCCCCGTCCCCTCTTCTTTAGAATGGGGACATGTATACCATCTGGCCTGGTCAACACCTGGTCTCCAAACATTAGGCCCCACCTAGCGTGGAAGCCCCTAGCATGCAGCTTTACGGATTTATGAAGCCAGCTCATGAACTGCAATACTGCAAGATGGGGAAAGAGCTGTGCTGTGCTTAGGGTGTGAGTCCCAGGACAGACGGACCTGGATTCAAGGCCAGGCCCCCCTGACTCCTGTAGCTGTGCCCGGTTATTCGCTAGATGGGGTAGGGGTCAGGTCATGATCACACCCATCTCAGACTACTGTTCAAGCAAGGTACCTGTGACAGTGACATTGAATTGTCAACTTGATTAGCTTGAGTGCCACTGGGGGATTAGTAAAGCACACTCTGGGTGTATCTGAGTGGGTCTTGGAGGAGTGACCCTGGGTAGTATACCTGGCATCTCTCCCGTTCCTCTCTGGCATTCTGCCTCTGTTCTGCTTCTGGGCCATCATGAACTAAGCAGCTTTGCTCTGCCAAGCCCTTCTGCCATGTTTCTTCCTGGTGCCAGCCAGCCTACCATGGACCAAAACTCCGAGACCAGGGGCCAAGTTAAAGCCTCTTTTAAGTTTCCAGTGTCTCTATTTTGTACCAGTAACAGAAAAGCTGATTAGTACAATCCCCATTAGAGTTCCCCAGCACACAGAACCTGGTCCATAGGTGGGATTTAACAATAACCTAAACACCTATCCCTGCTGTTACGGGTGAGTAAAGGGACAAGAGCCCGCTATGAATGACTTCCTCTGACTTCACAGCCCTGTGAGCTGAGTCTCATCCCCATTTCACATATGAAGAAGCTGAGGCTTCAAGAAGACCTGGAGCCAGTGACTTTGCATTCATCCTGAGAACCTGTTCTTAACATGCCTGCTGGTTCTCTAAGGACTAGACTGGATGGTGACCACCTGCCCTTTGTGAAGGAGAGCATCATGCACCCCTGCTCTGCCGGGCCTTTTCTTTGGGAACAAACTCAGACAGGGGAAGATCTGATGATGTGTCAGCCTCTGAAGACCCAATGGGCTGGTCTCTGTACACACCCAGCCATCCCCAGGGCCCCTGGAGCCCCAACACAGGAGCATGCTCATGCCGATAGCACACCATTATCACCCAGAACAGATAATGCTTCCTCAAATGCTAAGCTCATGTCAGGAAATTCAGCCTGCCAGACCTGGGTAAATAAGTTTCCAATTCTTAAAAGCAGCCATGTCCCTTCTTTGGTAGATTGACTGCAAATATCTTCCAGGTGTGGTAGCACATGCCCGTAATCCCAGAACTCTGGGTGGCAGAGGCAGGAGGTTGTCCAAGCCAGCCTGGGCAACTTAGCAAGTACCTGCTTAAAAATAAAAGAATGAACAAGGCTGGGGGAAGAAGTTCAGTGTGAAGGCTCTGGGTTCAACCCTTAGTGCTGCAAACAAGACAAAATCTTCCAAATTTCTGACATGCCTCTGCTTCCATGACAGACCTGTGGCCTCATCAAGCCCATTTCTACCCTTGTTGACAGCTGGGAAGCACTGCAAACTGGAGCAAGGCCACCTTGTCCCCAGCCCCAGCAGACATGCCTGCAAACAGGCCCAGAGGCCAGAACTGTTTACCATCTGAGGCCCTGAGTTTCTGTGCTGGTTTGTGATAGCGATATCGCCGCAGGGACAGAAGACAAACTCCCAGGCCCTTGACCTGTTGCTCATTAAAAGCTTGATTTGTGTTGTCTTTTGAGGCAGTCAGGGATTTAAAAGGGGCCCACAGATGCCCAACAAATAACTAAAAACACGCAAAGCCTGAGCTTTGTTTATTACCGGACACGCTGGGCTCTGCACACAGGCCTGGTGGTCACTTCGAGAATGTGGATGGAAAAGCCAGATTAGCCCTATATTTACAAAGCCTATCTCATCCCCCTTTAAGCCCAGAACACTGAGATAAGAGATTTATGGAGACATTCAACCATCCATGAGCACCCTGAAGTCCCCAGTCATTGTCCTCGACCTGTGGTCAGCTGGATTCCCGCAAAGTCTGCACTAGAGTGAGACTGCTCCATACAGGGACAATGGTCTCAGGGAGCCTGAATAGTCTCCTCAAGCAATGAGGGTGTCTCCAGAGCTATTCTGCAAGCAGCCCTGAGATAACGATCAGCCAGACATCAGCCCACCCCAGCGGATCCGTAAAATCCAGCCCTGTTCTGTGAGTGGATCTTCATTACAGCAGTGTCCCATCAGCTCCACAAACTGCAGCTGCTTCCTTATTTGTGATCTGCCTGTGCTGCTCACTGATGTTTCTCTGTGATGAGCGTTGACTCTACGGACCGACTGTATGCGTTTGGGGGAAGCGGCCGGTGAGTTGAGGTCTTCATTTCCTCTTTGTCCGCCTTGGACACCATTTAGTGACACTGCAGTTGCCAACCCTGCCTCCTACGTTGGATCTGGATCCAGTTGTAACACAGCCTCCTCCTCCCTCCTGGGAGCCCAGTGTGTGGGCCAGACACAGTGTCAGTGAGCAAGAGGTGGGGACTGTGTTGTCCCCCGGCCTAAACCTCTAGGTCTCTTCTGGACTCATGGTGGCCCCCACGTCTTGGGATCACTCTGAAGAGTTGAGCAGAGTGGATGGCTTCCAGATGGCCCTGAAATCCTACAGGCTTCACTCGGTGGTGGCTGCTGGTGGAGCCACACTGACACTTGGGAAGTCTTTGCCATTGGAGCTGGCGCCCTGGTTGAGGTCTCAAATCCATGGCATCATCGCCAGAGCTTCCTGGAAAGCAGAAGAGATTTCATCGCTTTGCCCATAACTGAGGCTGCACATGCCCAGTGGGAGGTGCCAACAGAGGAGGGACAGTGGCATCTCTAGGGGGGGCACTGGAGGGTGTGGTGTAATATTGGGAGCTGCGGGTGGGGTAGATATTTGGTCTTCACAGCTGGGTCCTGGTACAGAGCTCCGGAAGTCCTTGGGATTTCCCGAATGATGGAGTGAAGGGAGGGACTTTTGCGTTCCCTCCAAGCCTCTTCCATAGGCACCTGCATCTTTGTCAGTGAGGGAACTTGGGAGGACTGGAAGTGACTGCCAAGGCAGCGAACTCAGGGACGAGAGGGCTGGACCTCTCAGCCTCAACCTCCTCCAGGAAGAGGGGGCTGGACAGAGGTTCTGTTGCCAGGAACCATGAATTTGATCCATCATGTAGAGAAGACTCAACGACAGGTTCAGGTGCTTCCAGATCGGGCCCCTCAGAAGGCAACGATGCTCCACCCTTCCTATGCCCTTCCCATCTCTTCCATCCAGCTCTTCCTTGGCTGCACTCTGTAAGTCATTCAAGTGAATGAAACTGAGATGGGGTTGGTGCCCTGAATGTTGGGCAGAAGTGTGGGTGTCTGGACACCCATTTGCAACAAGTGTCTGAAATGAGACTGTGCTGACTTTACCTAGTTCCTGTCAGAATTGGGTGAAATTAAATTGTTGGACACCTTATTGGTGTCAGACAGTCTGAGGATGCTTGTCCTCTCCAGGGGTAGGCCCTCAAGCATGGGGCCTGCCTCCTTCCCTTCAGAGCTGGACAGAGAGGACAGAGGAGGTTCTCCATGAAGAGGAAGGGGCCCCTCTGTCTTCTGCACTCAGGGCCCTGCCCTGCCTGGGAGCTGCCTGAGGAATCAGTCTTGAGGCAAAGGTAAGAACATCTGGACTCAGAGAACAAGGCAATGGGCACAGCTGGCAGCAGTGACCAACATCTGGCCTCAAATTTTTTCCTTGCAGTAGCAAGCAGATCAGTTTTATGGGCACTGGGGTGCCTGGTGGCCACCTTTGCTCAGCACAGCCCTGCCTTCCCAGTGCTGGTCTGATGTGGCCAGGAGCATGTGGCATCTGGGGCAGGGGTGCAGTGTCTGCCCTTGGCGAATGTCACAACCCTTACTCTGGCAGTCACTATTTGCTGAGCCAGGTGCCATTGTCCTGTGTCTCACATGTGGCTGCCGAGAAACGCTGTGTGAATTCCTACTTGTGGAAGAGAGTGGCTCTCAGAGGCAGCGAGGCACGGGTGCCAGGGCGTCACGGCTTCCACCTGCCAGGCTGCCATACCAGGTGGCCCCATCTGTTCCTGCAGCAAGGATGGCCTAGTTGTCTACCTCATGCTCTTTTTGTGTGATTGAGCTGACTGTGCTTTGTTGGCTCTGCCCCTGCACTCTGAGACCCCAAACCAACGCAGAGGCCCAGAAATCTGCTTTCAGGAAATAAATTCTTCTTGGAGACTCTGCATCCAGTTCTCCATATGGCCCTGTGATCATCTTGGTGTGAACATAGGCTATGGGGCAGCAGAGATGCAGCTGGAGGGAAAGGAGGAAGCTTGCTTTCTCAGCCATCAGCCCAGGCAGTCTGCTCTGAGAGGACACCATCCACTGGATGACACCCCCAGTCCCTCAGGGCTCCTGGCAGTGTCCCTTGTGGAGGAAGGAAGGTCACCCACTGCATTACTTGTAAATGACTAGAGATGCCGGCTTTTCTGTTGCCACCCAGATGGCCCCAAGACTGAGCAGCCCCAGCTGCTGAGAGGTGGCCTCGCCTGCTCCGGGAGTGTCCTGGATTAGGGTGCACTCCCTTCCTGGGGAGCCGCCCCCAGGCTGCTTGGTGTGGGGTATGGAGGCTTGGCCTTCCTGCTCCAACTTAGGGTGGCCCTGAAGGCTTAGCTCAGAGCTAAGTCGTGGGGCCTGGCGCCACAGCACAACTCCTTCATTCCCATCTGCGCATTTGCCGCCTGGATTGCTCTGGACCGAGGGCGCAGTCGCAGAGGGGATGCCCATGCTGCCCTTCCATTCTGTCCTCATCCACTAGAGCCTGACACATGTGTCACAGTCCTCTGGTGGTGACAGAAGTTGTTTCTGCTTCATGCTTCCTATACTGCTTGAATTCTTTCCAAGAGCATTTGAGGATAGCTAGCTGACTGTGTGCTGGGCTCCGAGGCTGGGTCCTGGTGTCCAGAGTCCCCACCATTCCACTTAAAAAAATTCTGATGGTCACAGCCAGAGACTAACAGTAGGAGTCTATTGTTTGTCTGAAAGGGGATTCCTATTTACCCAGGGTGTACCCAAGCCCTGTGAATCTGTTTTCTATGAGATATTTGATCATTATTGCAGTCTTATGGGATACAGCCCATTACTATGTGAGATGTGATGAAAGTATATGGTGAATACCTAATTTAAAAAGTGTATTATAGAAAAAGACACATTGCTATTAATCCCCTCAAAATGTTCCCTGTCTTTGAACATACTTCTCCCATTGCTTTTGCCACTTTCTGGAGGACTTCTGGAAATCTGCCTTCCTGAGTGTCTTTACAAAGTATGATAAATACAGTGTATGCTACGCTGAGTGCCATCCAACTGAAAGGAAGGCTCATGATCAACATGATAGTGTGTTCTCATCCACCTTGTTCACCGGTTCTGGCACCCTGTAACTTCTGGCTCTTCCCCCAAAGTCAAAATGACCATGGAAGACAAATATTTTGAATTGATTCAGGACATCAAGGCAGCTACAACAGCACAGCTAAAGACACTCAGGAAAGAGGACTCCAGAACTGCTTCAGAAAGTAGCAAGAACAATGGGATAAGTGTGTTCAAAGTGCGGGAGAGGGTTTTGAAGGGGATTAACGGCAAAGTGTCTTCTACTGCAAAAACATTTTTAAGAATGTAAAAACATTCAGTATATTTTTTGATCACACACGTATCACCCAGATGAGACCGCCACGTGAGCAAATGGTAGAATCAGGATCTGCACCCTGACCTGGCTTTCTCTAAAGACTGTTTTTTATCTTTTACAACTGGCAAAATGAAGTCAGTGGCAGGGTGAGGGCTGGCTCTCCCTGTGGACAGTCCACCTGGAATCTTGTCAGCCACCACCCTCAGAGGAAGACTCTCATGTGAACAGGGGCTGGGTCATGCCTGGGCACCTGGGAGGAGTGGAGTGGAGTCTGGGCAGCAGGAAGGACCTGGTCTTAACTGAGTGCTGGGCGTAATGGTCTCCAGGGTGGTCTTGGAAGGCATCGGGAGCATCTGCGTCCTTATATCCATCCTCACCTTCTTCCCAGGCCACCAGGCTGCTGCCTCCCACCCTTGTTCTATGGTAACTAGTACTTGTAGTCTTATAAGATACAGCTGTTACTACATGATATGTGATGGAACTATATGATGAATACCTAAATTAAAAAGTGTTTTATAGTAAAAGACACATTGCTATTAGTCCCATTAAAATGTTCCCCTGTCACAGTGTGACAGCCAAACTGTCAGGAGAAGCCACTCTGGACTCCTCTCCCAGCCATGCTGGGGGTGCTGATGGTTAAGTGTAGATCTTGGGGTGTGACCCAGGTGTGCAGTCATTGTCCATAAAGGCAGAGGTAGAGAGGGGTCAGTTCAGGTTGGGGCTAATTCTGCCTGTGTCACTCAACAGTCCTGTGCCTCAGGAGTCAGTGAGCCCCCTGGTCCTCTGCTCACTTATCCTGCCCCCAGGGAGGCCCTATTCAGCCTACAGAGCTGGGTGTCTGAATGAGCCCACAAGAGGACAAACCATCCCTGAGAGCTGTGGACCTCCCCGCAGTTCCCATCTCACAGCTCCCTAGGCTTGTGTTTCTTCAAGCTGGGCAGGGGCAGAAGTCACCAAAAGGGGCTGATTCTTTGAGGACAGCTGCTGACTAAGCCCTGACTTGGCCCAGCTGTGGGCAGTGGGCAGTGGGCAGTGCATCTGCATGGCATCTGTGCAGGCACTTGCAGAGCATGTGGCCTGGCTTCCTTGGCCCAGGCTCTTCACTGCTCCCCAGTAAAATAGGTGCTGAGTTGTGTCCCACAAAACTCAGAGATTAAAATTTCCCAGTCTGAGGCCCTCTGGATGCGAGTGCATTTGGAGATCTAAATGTCAGTGCTAAAACCATACAATTTCTAGAAGCAAAGAGAAAATATTTATAATTTTGGGTTAGGCAAAAGTCTTAAATATTACATCCAAAATATGATTTACAAAAGAAAAAATAGATAAGCTATACATCACCAAAACTTAAAAATTTTCTATTTCAAATATCAAGTACACTATTAAAAAAATGAACAGTCAGACCATGGACTGGGAGAAAAATATTTGCAAATCATCTGTCTGATGAAATATTTATACCTAGAACATAGAAAAATGCTTACAAATTTAATAAAACAGACCAATTATAAAAGAGCAAAAAATTTGAATAAGTACATTGCCAAAGAAAATATATAAATGGCTGATAAACACAGGAAAAGAGTATCAGCATCATTAGACAAATGCATTATTTTCCCAATAGTAACTACTTTATATCCACTATGATGGTGTTACAGTTTGGATTTGAGATGTCCTCAAAATGCAGGCATTTAGTTGGCATATGATAGGCTTTGGTAGAAGTGATTGGATCAGGAGGGCTGTAACATCATCAATCTACTGATAATCCACTGATATGATGATTTGATTGCATTTCTGGGAGGAGATGGAAACAAGAGATGGGGCCTGGCCAGAGGGAGTGGTCATGGGGATGTGATTCTGGGGATTATATCAGTCCCCCTTTTTTTCTCTCAGGCTTTTTCCTTTTCTCTCTCCCCACCTTCTGGCAGCATGACACGAACAGCTCTGCCTCACCACATACGCTTTGCCATGCTGATCTGCTTCACAACAGACCCAGAAGCAATGGAGCAAAGAGACCATGGACTGAAGCCACTGAAACCATGAGCCAAAATAAGTATTTTCACCTCTAAGTTGATACTCCTAGATATTTTGTCACAGAGACAAAAAGTTAACACAGATAGCTCCAGTACAAAAAGACAATGACAGGTGTTGGCAAGGTGGTGGGAATACAAAATGGTAGAGACTTCGAAAAATATTTTGAGAGCATCTTAAAAAAAATCAAACAAACTGCTCACAAGAGAAACACAGGCAAATAGGCACAGAAACACATGAGTGAGAGTGTTCAGAGCAGCATTATTCAGGATGATAAACCCAACTAACAACAAACCTAAAGTCCATCGGCTGGTGAGTGGATAAAAAGAATGTATATCTGCACAATGGCACATTATTCAACCCCTGAGGAGACACATCTGATGCATACAAAAACATAAGCGGAACTCAGAAACTTCAGGCCACGTAAAACAAGCCTAACACAAGAGATGACACAGTATGTGATCCCCTTTATCTGCAATCTCTGGAAAAGGCAAATTCACAGGGACAGAATGGGCACCAGTGGGCTGGAGCTGGGAGTGGGGACTCACTGCAAATGGACATGAAGGAAGTTTTTAGGGGTGACAGAAATGTCTTGAAACTGAACTATCATGATGGTTCTACACATCTATAAATTCACTAAAAAACATGGAATCATGCACTCAGAATAGGTGACTTCTGTCATGAAATTGAGAATTTGATAATAATGGCTATGTGTTGGTTCATAACAAGGGCCATGTGTCAAAGGCCTGGTCGCAGGGGAGCATTGTTGGGAGGTGCTGGGAACTTCAAGAGGGAGCCCCCATGGGAGGTGCTTAGGTCTGGGAGGGGTGCCTTGAGTGGATTGTGGTCCCACCTTCTTGTTGTTCTCTTTTTGACCATGAGGTGAGCATTTTGTATTCTGCACAATTGTGTGGCCTCACCATAGACCCAAAGCAACAGCACCAGTGGCTCATGGGCAAGCACAAAAACTGGGAGAGACAAGGAAACCTTTTTTGTTATAAGTTTCTCATGTCAGGTGTTTTGTTATGGTGATGGAGAGGTGACTGTCTGAGCTACAAGCTACTCAGAAATGTGAATTGGGAAGAAGCACAAGGAAGTCAGAGAGGAGCAGCAGAGTGCAGTCATGGGTGCCCCCCTGGACAGATGGCAGGACTGCACTTCCTGAGCTCCTTGTGGGTAGCTGGGCAGTGTGAGTCACAGCTGCACATGGCATGAGACATGTGTCTTTCCAGGCTGAGGACGTCTCTGTCCATCTGAGACCTTCCAAGCTCACCCTTGGGCCTCCTTCCTGGCAGCCACGAGCTGTGAACCTGGCTGTCCATCAGTCAGGGGCTCACTCAGTCACTGTGATGGGCAGGAGGCAGCCCTCCACCTGGCCCGCGACTGGTGACTGTGTGACCTGTCCCGTTCTCCCAGATTCAGCAGAGAGGAGCGCAGGGTAAACATGCCCAGGAGGTGCTCAGGAATTTGAGAACCAGGCGGCTGTCTGGGGAATTGGTCTAGAGTTGGGCAGTGTACCCTCAAGCCTGGCATATCCAGCCAGTGCCAGGAATCTAGTGTGGCTGGGGCAGAGCCTGAGGAGCCGGGCTGGAGACAATGTGCCCACCTCAAGGGCTGTGTGGAGGAGGCTGGAAGAACAATGGAAAAACAGCGAGTGGCATGGGAACCACAGAAAGATGCAGAGCAAGGGACGGGTTGGGAGGACCTCAAGCTTGAGCTCAACCTAGGTGACTTTGTGAATGAGTGAGACCCTGTTATAAGATAAAGAATGAAAAAGAGCTAAGGATGTTGCTCAGTGGGAAGGCCTTGGGTTTAATCTTCAGGATGAGAAAAAAAGTCCAGATGAGGGCTGATATCATACCCTATTGCCATGCCATTCTTCTATGAACAGCCATGTTTATAACTTTCCTGTTTATAACTTTCAGTCAGTCCTGTTTATAACTTTCCATAGCTCCCTACTGCCCATGAAAAAGAGCACAGGATTCCCGACATGCTACCTGCGTAGCTTTCCCCTGGTTTCCCCTTCCCTCTGCTCCAGGCCCCCTCCCCTGGGCCTCCTGCTCCCCCTGCCTTGGCCATCCCGCCTTGCACAGCAGTGACAGACAGGGCACAGGGCAGGGCGTGACAGATGTCCCTGCTCCAAGCTGCCCAGGCCTTGGTCCTGACTTGGCTTGTGGCAAGGGTCTTGGGGGCCGTAGGAATGGCTGAATTTGGAGCAGCATTCTCCTTTTTTGGGGAGTGGGCTGAGGCTACTGCTGTTTATACCATGGGACTCAGCCATGCAGTGGGTCCTTGTGTATGGGTGGAGTTTGTGCCCAGGACAGCCAGCCACAGGGAGAAGCCACCAGTTGGAGAGAGGGTTAGGCAGGTCAGTGGCCAGAAGTTTGAGGAGCTGGTGAAAAAAGAGGGTGCAGTGGGTGTGAAGTGGCAGGATGAGTCTTGGATCCTTGGGGGAAACCGAAGTTGTTTCCACATCAAAGAAGCTACGAGTGGTGCCATGGTTGTGTGAGAGTTTTAGCAAACTCATGGGTAAGGGACCTGGCTGACATTTGGTTTCCTGTAGGACAGTTCTAGAAGGTTCTGGAAGGTTCTTAACTGGGCAAAATTGTGGGCAAAGTGAAGAAGTGAAGTACAACAGTATAATTTTACCCCCAAGATCCTGCTATTTACCTCAACCCCTTCAAAATGTCAGAGAAGTCTAGATCCTCACAAATCCCCTCAGCTGAGAGAAAAAGAGGGACAGGGAGAGGAAGAAAGAGAACAGAGTCACCGGTGAGATGAAGGATGGGGAGAAGCTGCTTTTCTTAGGGCAGCTGGCTCTCCTTTCTTCTGAAGACCTTCCTGACATGGTATTGCTATTTTTATGGTGCTGCCAAAGTGTCTGAGATCACATAATCCTTACACATTAATCCAGTGCAGAGGAATGATGTATGGACACACGCTATAGGGTGGATGAGCTTTGAAACTATTCTGCTACCTGAAAACCGCTGGGCAAGAGGGGTCACAAACTGCCTGATTCCACCAGTAAGACACCCACAGAGTCAGAAGACAGATCGGTGGCTACCGGGCACACGCTTACTGGGGTGGCGGTTGGGGACAACTGTTCCCTGGGGGTGCAGAAGAGGATGAGAATGTTCCACAGCTAGATAGAGGTGGTGATCATTCTGCATTGAGAATGGACAAATCCCACCAAACTGCGTATTTCAAAGTGGCTCATTTTAAGTTATGTGAATTTCACTGCAATATGAAACAACTTCCCGGCCCTTGCTACACAGTATGATCCTCTGGAACCCAGCCAACCCCCATTCAGCCTGGGTCTCCAAGGAGAAGTCTGGGGAACTATCAAAGCTCTTCAGTGATCCTAGCGGGGCAGGGTGAGGACCCTGCCCGGGTCCCCTTTCCTGTCCTGTCCAGCTGCACTGTGCCCAGGCACCATCACTGTAGGACCAACCTGACCAGCACCTTCCTGCCTGTGACTCGGCCAGACCTCATGAGGCCCTCAGCCAGCACCTATCCCACAGCCCTCAGCCAGCTCCAGCCACACAGCACCCCACTGCATCTAGCAGCCACCACCCAGTCACTTACTGGTACCCCTGACCCTTCCTCCTTGAAACCCAACCGACTGCTCAGCTGCATGGTTTCCAAGCAGGGACGCAGCAGTCCCAGGACATGCAGGCTCCCACAAAGCTCTTGCCTCCCACCCTGGCCATTGGCGGATGCATGACCCTTACTCGGTGTCATCAGAGCTCAGTGCCCCTAACAGTCCTGGTCACTTTGATATCTGTTTTCAGGCAGACGCAGAACAGCTGCCCCAGTTCAGGCATGACTACTGGGCACTGGCCAGCACCCTGGAGAAGAAGAGGGCAGGACCCTGAACATGGATGCTGCTTGGGGCCCTCACCCACAGGACAAAGGAGGCTCCTTTGGCAGCCGTGGCTGACCCCATGGCCCAAGGAAAAAGTCGAGCGCAAAGGCAATAAGAAGGTTCTTACTGAAATATCTGGCCGCGAAGGTCCTCCTTCTGCTGGAAGCGGTCGGCAGCATAACGGAGCTGGCAGTCTGCACAGATTTCTTCTATATCCTTTTTATAAAGCTCCAACCACATCCTCAAACAGACAAGCTAATTCCTGTTTTCCAGTAACAGGAGATCAACATCTATAGAAAAGAAATATATTTAGAATGCCCTTTATCTGGTGTTTTCTTGGATTTCAAGTAAGAAGCCTGCTAGAGGAAAGAGTGCCTGAGAGAAAGTGTGCCCAGGAACTTGGGATGGCCTAGGGGACACCAAAGGGCTTCGGGGAAACTGTCAGTTCCTCAAGTCTGTAAAATGGGAACAATACTGATAGCCTCCTTTCAGAGAAAACAGACACCGATGTCAGTAGAAGGGAGAGACTCAGCCAGTGGCAAAGTCTGTGGCTCATATCTGCTGCTAGCTTTTTTTTTCCCTTCCCAATTGGCTGCCCTGGGTTTATTCAGGGAGCTATGTTTCCAGAAAGCTTGAAAAACAGCAGAGTGCCACGCTGCCTCCTGTTTGCACTGGGAGCCTCCTCTGAGGCACAGCAGCTCCGTGACAGGGACAGCAGGACATGGTCCCATGCACAGATGCAGGGTAAAGCCAGGGGGAGCCTCTGACCAGCACCAGGCTGCAAAGGGCGCATTGCCTGCACTCCCTGCCTAACATTTAACGTCATCAGAACATAAGTGTCTGTCATGGAAAATCGAAAAGCAAAATCTCAGCTGTGAAGTAGCCAGGGGACATTTATGCAGCTATCGTCACTGACACAGTGTCCTGGAATTGTAAGGCAAGGCTGCTTCAAGCATCAGGGCCGGTATCACCATGTAAATACACAGTGTCTGTAAAGCTGGAGGGCAGATGCACACTGGATGCTCTTGCACTACTGCCTTTGGTGTACTGAGCCTAAAGCTATCACTGTGAGAAAGATACAGTAACCCGTTCCTGTTTAAAGACAGAACAAGCCGAGCCAGCACTCAGCATGGTGGCTCCTTCCAGCCCGGCTGTGGGAAGCAGGGGTTCATGTGGGTGTCGCCGCCACAGAAGTGGAGCGGGCTGGGGGCTGCTGGACAGGGCTCAGTGGGTGGCTGTCTTGGGGCTGTGTCTTCTCAGCCCAGGCCTGGTGGGTCTGTGGACAGCTCTTGCCTAGGGGACTCCAGCAAGCAGTGGGGATGGGGCCAGCCTGTGCCTCTGGGGAGGACCTGGAGCCACCAAGAGCAGAAGGTACCAAGGCATTAAGTGCTACATCTAGAAGCGCCCAGTGCGAGAAACCAGAGTGTCCAGAGTGTGAACCCAAGGAGGAGCCCAGGAAACTGAGACAAAGATGGGGTCTCATGGAGAGCTGGAGGAACCAAACATCAGCCCAGAACCTTGCAGCCGGGACAGACCCAGAGTGACACTTCCCCGTGCTCCTTAAGCGCCAGGGCTGGGGAGTAGGGGAGGTTGCCATGCCATGACGCAGAGTGGTGGGAGGTTTGGAATGAATCCTGGAGCCCCAAGCTTAGCTTTTCCCTTTTTCTAGTGTGAAGTAAAAAGAGTCAGATTTAGCAAATACAAATACAGCGTGCCCAGCTAACTTTGTTGTATAAGTATGTTCCAAATATTGCCTGGGGTACACGTTCTGCTAAGAAGGCACCTATCTGTTACCTGAGCACTGTTCAGGTTTAATGGGGTGCCCTGTGTTTTATTTGGAAAACTTACACCTTTTGAGTACCTGACTGTCTGTCTATCTATATATTTATCTATCATCTATCTATCTATAACCTATCTATCTATTCACCGTCCACCCATTTTTCAGTATAGGGGAAGAACCTAGAGGTGCTCTACCACTGAGCTACATCCCTAGCCCTTTTAAATCTTTTATTTTGAGGGTCTTGCTATGTTGATCAGGCTGGTGACCCTCCTGCCTCTGCCTCCCAAGTGAATGAGATTACAGGCATGGATGAGTCCTCTTATTTTTAAAATTTTTTAGAAGTGCCAGCTTCTGAGCCAATATTTCTTCTCTTCTGTCCAGCAGGAGGAGAAAAACCTATCTCTCAGTGTCTCTCCTAGAAGTGCCAGGGAACTGTGCCTCCCTACACTCCCAAAGCCTCCTCTGGCCTCCAGGCCACACTTTGGGCCAGGAACTGGCCACCCCAGAACCCATCCAAGTGGATGGAACATTGGGACACCCTAATTGGCTAAAGTCAACCTGGTCTCCCCTGGAGCCATGGGGAAGAAGTGGGTGCCAGGTGCTAGGGGAAAGGGCTCTGACCTGCAGTGCCCCTGCGGGGGGGGAGGGGCAGAAGGGGCACCTTTCAGGGAAGAAGGGGCCAAAGACCCACCCGCTCCCCTCACCCACCTTCTCTGCAGCAGGGTCAGAAGCAGGTCGCAGGCCCAGCCGCTGCCGAAGGGCAGATGGGAGGGAGCTGGGCTCTCTGAGGGATGACTCAGCCCTGGCCACGGCCCGCCCAGTCAGTGCTGGCGACCCGGTCTTCCTGGACCCAGGCCAATACCCCGTGCCCTGCCTCAGCCCACCTGCAGACCTTTTTAATAACGACAGCCAGCGCCTATTAAACGCCAATTGTGTGCCAGGCACACTACCCCGTCACCTGCCAGCACCCTGCAGAGCACAGGACAGTGACAGTGTGGGGCAGCCCGTGCAGCGTGAGGCCTTGGGAAGGGTCTTCCAGTGGACATACCTGGGAAGGCCGGCCGGGTGCGCTGCCGGAGCTAGCGCGGGTTCTGCTCACCTGGGCCTGAGTCCTGCCTGCCTGCAGGGCAGGGACCCTCTGGCCGCCGGTGGGGACCGCGCGTGCGGCTCGGCCCCTCTTCTCGGTCGGCCCCGGCCCCAGGTTAGAGCGTGTGGGCGGGCGAGAGGGACGCGGCCCGGCGTGGACATGGTCGGGCCTCTGTGTCTCGGAGCACAGCAGTGATGGCAGTGCCTGGGCTGCTGCTGCAGGACGGTGCTGACCGGGCAAGGCCAGGCTGGCGAGCTGGCGGTGCAGAGCGCCCCCTGGCGGCCCCGGCGCGCATCACGTCCCTCCCAGCTGCCGATCCTGTTTTGGTCGGGTGGGGGAAGTCCCGGGTGATCTATACCAAGGGTCTCCGTGGGCAGCTACAGTCACACAGCTTGCCTCCCCAGTGTCCACTATGGGAAGACAAGTCCAACTGGTTCCCAACATTTCAGAGGCATGCAAGGCTAGGAGCGAGGCAGGCAGGTGGCTGCAGGTCTGGCCTCCCCCAGCTCAGCACCCATTTGTATGTTGAGGTACAATGTGGCCTGGGCGAGGGAAGCAGCAAGAAGCTGAGAAGGCCTCACGGGTGAGCCCTCCACGCCTGCTCGTGGAAGGGGTGGTCGGGCTGTGGTGCAGAGAGCCAGGACGATGGAGGGAAGTCGGGGCTGGCTCTTGACACTGATGGTCTTTGGCTGGGTACTGTGCAACCTCTGAGCCCTGGGTCATCTGCAAAGGGTGACAGCAACACCGCTGACCACCTGTTTGCTTGAGCATCAAGCGCTATATCCAGCATGCCCAAGTGGCTTCACCTGTGTTTGTATGTGGCTTTAGAATCAAATTGGTGGTAGGTGGTGGCGTACATGATGACCACCACTAAGGTTAGTGTGTTGGGCCAGGTGTGGTGGCACATGCCTGTAATCCCAGCACTCGGGAGGCTGAGGCAGGAAGATCATTGTGAGTTTGAGACCAGCCTGAGCTACAAACTGAACTCAAGGCCAGCCTGAACTGCATAGAGAGACCCTGTCTGAAAAAAAAAAAAAAAAAAAAAAAAGGTTAGCGTGTTGGACCATGGTGAAGGGGGGCTTAGGGGGGCAGGATCCCCATTGTGCTCCCCTCAGACCCTGCCTTGGGGCCTCTGAAGTGGCTGGGTGGGAATCCAGAACCCAAGCCATGAGTCTGTAACAAAGCTGTCACTGCAGTGGGGTGACCAGCTTCTGTCACATTAGGGACCTGTGTAGGGGCTCAGCTGAGGGTGCTGGAAACCTGGCAGGGTGGCCAGAAGTCCTACAGAGGCCACTGCCTAGTGAGTCCCTGGACCCAGGCAGTCAGATTCTGCCAGAGCCACTCTGCCGAGCATACTTAATTAGGAACTCCTAGGGGCTGCTTGCTTCATTGACTTTTATACAGAGTGATCAAAATATAAGATGAGTATTTAAACAAAACATTATTACAGTAAAAGACGCATTGCCACTACCCCTCTCAGAAACCTCTCGCTTGCTTTAAACACTCATTCCATTGTTCTTGCCACTTTCTAAAGCAGTTCTGAAAGTTCTCTTTCCTCAGTGTCATTACAAGGTGTAATAAAAGCATAGTGACTGCTGGGGCTGAGTGCCATCCAACGGAATGGCAGGCTGTAAAGACAGGATGGGGTGTCCTGAGTTGATTCAGTGCATTTATTTTCATGGTCATTTTGACTTTGAGGAACATCAAGGCAGCCAGGACAGCACAGCTGACACTCATGAAAGAGGACTCCAGAGCTGCTTCAGGAAACAGCAAGAATAATGGGATAAGTGTGTTCAGATTGGGGGCGGGATTTGAGGGTGATTCATGACAATGTGGCTTCACTGAAATAAATTTTTAAAATATAAACATTAACTGTACTTTTCAACCACATCTTGTACATAGCAAAGTTATTTTATTTTCCTAGTATGATTGATTTTTTAATGTGTATAAATACTTAAGGCAGTTCAAGAGCCCAGTATTGCTTCCACCTCAAAAATGTTTTAAAAAAAATTTTATTTACAATTCATGTAGTTTACAGTCATCTTGGGGAAGGGTTATCTCTCTCTCCCTCCCTACTTCCCTTTGTCCTCCCCTTCCTTCTTCTTCCTCTCTCTCCCTCCCGCTCTCTGTTTCTTTCTTTCAACTCTTTCCCGTTTCCCCAAGCAAGACTTCTCGTTGCTGGTGGAAGAAAAACCAAACACGACGCTGAGCAACCTTGAGTGTAATCAGCAACCGAGGCCAACAGATGGCGCTCTCAGCACGCTGCTTGCACAGGGCTTGCGCGCTCTCGTGTGCGTGTGCGTGTGCGTGTGTGTGTGTGTGTGTGTGTGTGTGTGTGTATGTGTGTATCAAGCAGATTCGACCAGGCCCTTTGCAGGAGGAGGGTCTCAGTCCAGTCCGGGGCTGCAGAGCCCTTTGGCAAGCATCCACGTGCAGCTCCTGCGTCCGCAGTGTGGGCCAGGAACAGGCGGGCAGTGGGGCGTCCAGGATGCACGTTTGAAGGAGCAGCGAGGTCTCGCCTGCCGTCTCATCCCGAAGACTCTTTGGGCACCGCAAGGGGGCAGCCAGGATCCTCAGATGGGCGTGCTTCGAGGGGCCCTGTGCCCCGGGGCCCACGTGGGTCAGAGCATGAGTGGGAGGTAGCCAGCCAGGGCGCGGAGAGGAGGCTGGGCAGTACCCAGCCTGGACATCCACCCTGTAGCAGCCCAGGCACCTGGCCTCTGAGGCCAGTGGACAGGTGTGTAGTGGGCACCCACTGGAGACCTCTGCTTGAGGTCTGGGTCAGGGTGGCTTGGGAAAGTCAGTGCACTTACACTGGCTCCAAGGCTGGAAGGAGAGAGCAGGTTTGAGGGCACCCTAAGAAATCTGCACACTAGGGAAATTGTGGGGACAACATAGATGCCCATTGACAGACAAATGGACAAAAAAATGTGGTGTATACATACAAGGGACTACTACTCAGCCATAAAGAGGGATCACTGCAGTCATTTTAGGGTAATGGGTGCACCCCAAGAGCACAATGTTATGTGAAGTAAATCAGACATACAGCTTAAATATAACACTGTTTCTTTTACATGAGAAACCTGAAGTATAAATGATTTACAAAGCACAATAAAGGAGAGATGATAAGAATTGAGGAGGCAGACTTTTGGAGATAGGGATGGGAGAGAGGGGAATGTGGGGGAGAAAGGGACTAAAGAGGATGAAGCCGTGCTGTATATCACTTCCCAGTGTGATGTGATTCTTCTGCACCTCAAACATATATCAGGAATGGAGAAATCCGTAAGCAGCATGTCATGTCGGTGAATCCAAAGGGGCCTGTGTGAGTGTGCCGCGTGAGCAGGGTGTGGAGGGCAGGGCCGTGACACTCACACAGGGAGTGACAGGCCCCCGGCACCAGATCTGGGAGAGGGTGGAGAGTGAGAAGGAAGTGGAGCTTCAATCTCCTGGGTGCTTGGGCCTTTAACTCTAGTGTTACATTAAAATTGTCTTTTAAAATTTATTCTTATTTTTCATAGTACTGGGGATTGGGTCATGGGGTGCTCTATCACCGAGCCACACCCACAGCCACCCTTTTAAATTTCATTTTGAAACAGGCTCTCCCTAGGTTGCCCAGGCTAGACTTAAACTTGCAAGCCTTCTGCCTTAGTCTCCTGAGTAGCTGGGAGTATAAGTGTGTACTATCTAGCTGGTGGTTAATTACATTTTTGAATGTTTAAAATCTAACCTGTGGCCCTGCACCTCTCTACCTCTGAGATACACTCCCAGACCCTGGAATCCAGCTGAGAACAGTAGAGTAGAGATGCAGTATCAGTCACAGGTATAGTTCAGAACTTTCTAGTAGATGCGTTGAAAGAAGCAGGTGAAAGTTTAATAACATATTTTATTCACTGTAACACGTGAATGATGTAACTTCAACATGTCACTAACAGAAATATTTATTGAGACACTTTATATCCTTCTTTACACCAAACCTTCTGAATCTGGCGTGTATTTTCCGTGTATAGTACATTCTAATCTGGATCCTTCATTCCCGTTGGAAACACTTCATTTGCATTTAGATTTCACAAAATTTAGAGTTGAAAGAAAAGGTCTGCAGGTTGTTCCAAGTGCATGTGAAAGCTTTTAAATAGTTGTACCTGTATCAATCTTTAAGTTAAAATTAAATGAAATGGAAAATTTAACCACTCATTATGGTCTGCGGGCACATGTGGGCTGCAGTCCTACTGTGTCAGATAGCACAATGGCAGGCACACAACAGCCAAGTATTTGTGTTAAAAGTGTAAAAGTAACAAGAAAGGGAGAATGTGTAACTTCCAAGCCAATAGAGGGGGGTAAAGACCAAAAAATCTTAATTCAACAGAAGGAAGAAAAGGGAGGAAAAAAGTAGAAGAAAAATCATGGTAAATGGAACACAAAAGGAGGCAGAAACAGGCATAAATATATCAGTAATCACAGGAAATGGAAATAGATTAAGCTCACCTATTACTCTGGATTTTTAAAAAATGCAACCATAGCTGTTTCAGAGACACACCTCAAATAAGGATATAGAAATATTGAAAAGAAATTAATGGACAAATATACCGGGAAAGTTACTAAAACAAAACTGATATAGCATAGTAATACTGATGTGAAGCAAGGTCAATTAAAGCAGAAGCTTTGTTGGGGAAAAGAATTATCATCATGAG